GGTGGCAGAGGAGGGGAGGCTTTGCGTGGAGGTGATCCGGTGTGGCAGAGGGAGGGGAGGCTTCATGGGAGGTATCAGTGGCAGAGGGAGGGGCAATGTATGGCGGAGGTGATCGGTGGCGAGGGACGGGGAGCATGCAAGCTGGGTGGTGATCGGTGTGCAAGAGGAGGGGAGCATGTGTGGGAGGCTGCTCGGTGGCAGAGGGGGAGGCTTGCATGGGAGGTGATCGGTGGCAGAGGGAGGGGAGGCTTGCATGGGAGGTGATCGGTGGCAGAGGGAGGGGGAGCATGTGTGGGAGGTGATCGGTGGCAGAGGGAGGGGGAGCATGTGTGGAGAGTGAATCGCGGCTGCAGAGTAGAGAGGGAGCATTGCGTGGGAAGGTGCATTTTGCGGTCAGGCAGAGAGGAGGAGGCTTGCATGGGAGTGATCGGTGCAGAGCGGAAGAGGGTAGGCTTACATGGGAGTGAATCGGCTGGCAGAGGGAGGCGGGCAGCCATGTGTGGGAGGTGATCGGGGCAGAGGGAGGGGAGGCTTGCGTGGGAGGTGGGAGGTGGCAGAGGGAGGGGGAGCATGCATGTGCATTTGCTGCCCGAATCATCAATTCACTGCATTCCTACACGTTCTTACACAGTCTTCATGGTCTCTTTCCATCCTCCCTCTTCCTCTATCCTTTGTCACTCTCAGTCTCCATATCCCTTTTCTCTCCTCCTTCCCACTTCGTTGGCATCTCCCTCTTCTCTCCTCTTACTCAATCCATTTTCTCCTCCCCTGTTCCTCTCATCTTTCCCATCTCCCTCTCCTCTCTCTCCCTCACCCACCCCTTCCCTCTTCTCTCCCTCTCTTCCTCGCCTACCCTTCTCTCTCGCACGCTCTCACGTCTCTCGCTTCCCCGCAGGAGATCTACGTGCACATCGTCAACGACCGCGACACTTCGGTCATGCGAAGGGACACGAGGCGCTCACGCCCAAACGACGGCCCGCTGAAGATAGCCCGCTGGGGCTACCAGCCGGTCACCGTGCTTCAGATGACCCGCCGGCCGCCTGCACCGCTCTCGCGCTGCACTCCGACTGGGGGCTGGTCGGCCGCCGGCACCGCGCACGGCTTCACCCTGTTCGACTACGTGCAGCGGCGCGCCGTGATGTCGCGCTGCACGCTGAACGCGTCCGACATGCGGGCACGGGCATATGAGCAGAACGGCATTGGCGCGCCGCAAACCTCAAGCAGTCGCTGCGCGAGTCGTTTCCGCGGCTGGCGCACAAGCAGACGCGGCGAGGAGAGGCCGCGGGCGGCGACGAAAGAAAGACGCATGCTGGCGAAGAAAGATCGGTGAGCGCGAGGAGGGTGGGACGAAGGGGAGGGAGTGAAGGAGAAGGGGCCAGGGAGGGGTGAGGAGGGAAGGGATGGAGGCGGGGGAGGGCGCAGGAAGAAGGGAGCGGTGGCTTGTCGTGTTGTTGTGTGTCACTGCGTCGCCGGTGTCTCTGTTTTCATCCTCTCATTGTCTTTTTCTCTCTTGGTCCCTGTCTCTATCTTTCTTTCTCTCTCGCTCACTCTCTCTCTCTCTCTCTCTGTCTCTCTTTCTCTGAATTCTTTCTTTTTACACACATCACATTCTTTTATGTCTCACAATTTCTGCTAACTTTCGATAGACCATCTACAACTCAACCGCAGGTTCTATCTCTTATTCACGTCTCACGGTGGAAGGTAATGTAAACTTGTGCTTCACATGAGTCTCTAGGACGTCTGCCACTACGACGTGAGCGCCGTCAACGCTCCTCTCTTTCACATTCGTTGTCCTTACTCTGCTGTCTCTGCGTAGTGAATACGTGTATGTGTAGAAGATCACATCTGTAGGGTGTGATCTCTGTGTGTAGTAGCACTGGAGCAGGCAAACTGTGGCACTTGCACATGCATTGCACTCGTGCACGCGCGCTGAGGCAGCTACAGAATCAGAAGTCAGGCGAGATCTAGGACAAGTTTCTATGCTTCCAGTGGTTACGCACTGGTCCCAAATTGGATCCCCAGCTGCCCTGTGTGATGGCTGTAGATATGTGCGCTGTAGGATGGGACCAGCTATCCCACGTTGTTGGCCAATTGATCTACAGGGTCTGTGTGAATTTTTTGGTGTAAATTGAAGGCAAATTTAATGTTCTAGCAAAAAAGAGAAGGAGCAGAAAGATAAGAAGGAAAAGAAAGAAAAGAAAGAAAAGAAAGGGAAAGAACGTAAGGGCAAATTATCAGTAGAAGAGAAGGCAGCAGCCGAGGAGAAACACGAGGTGAAGGAGGAAGAGGGTGCGTCGAAGAAAGAAACTGAGGAGGAGGTTAATAAGGAGGGAGATGTCAAAGCTGCAGAGAAAGTCGATAAAGAGAATGTCGAAGAGACAGTAGAGGAGAAGAAACAGGAAGAGAAAGAGCCAGAAGAGAAGTCAGAGGAGAAAACTGATGAGAACGAAAAGGAAGAGAAAACCGACGAGGAGGAGGACAAAGAGGAGGAGCTTCCTCCGCTGATCATCGAAGAAGAACTACCAACGCTGAAGATAGAAGAAGCCAACGAGGAGCAGGAGGCACCAGCCGAGGCAAAAGAAGAGAAAGAACAGGAGAAGGAGGAGGAGGAGAAGACAGAGGAGGTCAAGGAAACTAAAGAGGACAAAGAGGTGGCTGTTGTTGTGGAAGCGTAAGTAGCCACCAGGGGGAGCCAGCGGATGGACGCGTGTTCGGAGAGTGCAGCTGCCGCATGTAGCTGACGTCACTGCATGAATGCACTAGTGAGGCTGTAGCACTGTAGCCCTGCTCCAGCTGAAATAACCCTGCTCAAGAATGACATGCAGAATAGCGAGTCTACTTCATAGTTGCTTGTTCTCTATGTAACGCTTTTCTCGTCTCTCTCTCTGTCTCTGTCGCCCTTTCGTGCTGTTTGTTCTGTTATCTGCTAACATTTCATTTGCATGGTAACAGATCGTGTCTGTATGCTATGGCGTTGTTGCTGTGAGCCTGTGCATTTGTTGTGTCGCGATCTATGCGTATTACTAATGAGCAGGTCATTACCAGCATTAACAGCATCACAGACGGGATGCTTTCAGCTGCCTGCAATTTGAATTCGACTACTAATCGTTTTGTTTCCGTTTTGACGTTTTTGCTTCTAGCAATCTAACAGTAGCTGCGATTAAATTGCTTGCGGTGTTTTATAAATTAACATGACTAAAACCACCTATTCGTGATGAATTTTGTTTTTTATTTCTTGTGAACCATAACCGAGGGAGGGTACCGGATAATTATTCCCCCAATTCGTGACCGTGTTCAAACCTGGCCGTCTTTTTTGTGTGTAAGCCTAATGGTAACACTTTAGGCATGTAGATTATAATAATTACATGTACATAGTGTCAACATCATGATGACAAAATTTGCGTGGAGATAAAAAAATGTAGGTTGGTCACAGCACCAACAGTGGTCCTACCTTTCGTAACAGTTGCAGTATTTGGAGTGTTGCTCCTCGCTCGGCTTGGAGGGATCGTGGTGATACCAATAATATTTGCATGTGTGTTCGTGGCCGGCATCATGTGTGAAAGACCTGTGCTGCGTTTGCTAGCGGAAGCTGTTGTGACTGAGTATGATCGTTGGTTGTTATTTACACGAGTGTAGATGTTTGTTTGGTGCTGATTCCGCTGATTACGATCATGCGATCTTGATCCCCAGCCGTTAATCATTGCCAACTCAATTGCGATCTATATCAGAACGTTAATAACTTCACAACGTGCGATGACGGATTGATTGCACATACTGGTTGTGCACTGGATACGCACGGGTTGTGTTTTGTTGCGCGGCTGCCTCGTTAACTTCGTTATCTTATCGTCATCGTTATCTTTCAGGGTGAAGCCAGCCGTGGATCTAGCGGAGGAGAAGATTCGTACTGTGGAGCGACAGATTGAGCCGCGAGCGATGGATGACAGCATGGCGTCCATGGTGCGCAGTCTCCTGCTCACCCAGTCCTTCCTCATCAGCGGTAGGTTTCCCTCTGCTCACCCAGTCCTTCCTCATCAGCGGTAGGTTTCTCCCTGCTCACCCAGTCCTTCCTCATCAGCGGTAGGTTTCCCCCTGCTTGCGTCGCTAGACATGATCTACAAGCTCAGCACGGCGCCAGTCTTCATCGGCGACCACGAGCCACACGAACACGCACAGGACGACGACGATTGGCCGCCCTTCCGCAAGGTAAGAACGTCTCTCCTGCAGCGCCCTCTGCTGGCATCGTCGCGATGTTACACAGAGAAGGGTGCGATGTTATGGATCTGCGATGGCAATGTTACCGATTCTCTTAGGTTCTAATGTAACGTTTTCCTCTATCGCGTGTGGTTGATCAGGCCGTGATCGTCGCACAGGGGTGACACGTCGGGTCTTGTACCTCGACTGCCATGCACGTTGCGTTACGACCAACCACGACAGTGACAGAAACAGCAACACGGGTTTATGCAGCACTTGGCTGTATAATAGCCTTTTACTATGCACCAGCAATCACAACACTATATACAAATCGTCCACGAAGATACGGTCTCACACATGACAGTTCAATACAATTCAGTCTTACGATCTGTAGTTCGTGGCACCGGTGGTGTTGAGCGTCT